AAATCTAAGCTCCACGTTTAGCCAGTTGTGATAAATTATTAATCAAAAAAACTATATATATTACTAGAAAATTGATCTGCATTAAACAAAGTACTTTTTATGTTTGGTACCCTTTAAGGTATTTTTGATGCTAATACTTGTTGTAACTTTTAACTTGAGTAAGTATTTGCAATTGAAGGGCTGGCTTCTAAACAGAAGTATTCATAGACTGCTGGTATTTCTCCTTGTTGCTTTAGCTTGCAGAATCGGAAGTAACTTCTCCCACCTCTGGATATGATAACTATGGAGATTTCCATACAGAAAACTGCAGTCCGTGTCAAAACCCGGGTAAGGGACTCTTTCGTTAGCAAACCACCTAGGAGATGTTTTTTAATTTTTCTTTCGTGTATATCAAACAAACGTTAAGCAACTTTTAAAATATAACAAAACACTGTTACGGTGTTCTTATTCCTTGGTTCCATGATTGTAAGGGTCGTTCTCTACATGCGCACATCACAACCAAGAAGGTTTACATGTTTAATGGATTGATTAATTTCTGTAACTAGCGATGGATGGCTTTTAAAAACGTTAGCGTGTGGAAACCGAGGACAACTGATCGGTTACCTGTCTGTTTGATTGAACAGCGGTGTTTTCTGAGCCTCAGCTGGAAACTCTACGAAAGCCTTTTCCTCTCTGACGGAGAAAACAGCAAAAATATTTTGACAAACTCGTGTTTGGACAGGGACTGCTGTTCAGGAACCCTCATAAAGTGTTTTGTGTAATCATGATTTTCCTCTGTTAACACGGGCTAGGCCAATGTTCCTTGGGTTTGGCATACCGTTGGCGTTGCCAAATTGCATCATGGAGCCTGCCTTTCCTTGCTGTTTTCTTTCTTCTTCGTTGTCTTGTTTTCTTTCTCTGTTTTTGTTTTGTGCTGGCTCCACTGCTCCGGAGGCGAAAAAAAGGTTAAGACACGGGAAACCGAGATTGACTGATTCATAAAAAGCCAATTCAATTAACCCGAACCAAAAAACTTGCACAAGCCTACTACTAAAACATTTGGTTTACCTATGTCTGCTTAAATTAATTATTCTTGTTTCGATTTTAACAACAACGGCAGTTCTATTGCCCGTCTGTCCGTCCGGATCCTCCTCTGTTTGCTCTCCCTGACCGTTGTTCTTTCCATTCCCCCTTTAAAAAGAACTTGTTGCGTTGTTCTGGCTCGGATGAGTTTTTCTTTGCTACGATTGGAGCCGTTCAGGGACAACGGGTCGCTACTGTTTCTTTCGCATTACTGAATACTTCTGTTTACAAGAACTGTGAAGGACCACGAACAAAATGTAAACATTTGTATATTTGCTATATAAAATTTAAACATTGAAATGATCAGATGATGATTGATGATTGATTGATGATGATTGATTGATGAATTTGGTTTGATTGATTGATATACCATAATTTCCCATGAAAACGGCATTTCCCTCGCCATAATACGAAAGATGTCGCTGTCTACTTTTCCAATTGCGAAAACACGTTCCGATCGTTTCCGAAAACTTCGCTTGGTTATATCACCGGTCCATGGCCTCAAAACAGCTTCTAAAGCCAAATCTGGAGATCTCACCATAGTGCTGTTGCCATGGAACCGCATCCTTTCGCCATAAAAAAAAACACGATCGTTTGCCGTGGGATTAACCTATTGAAAATGCGTCTAAACCAAAAGCAGACTTTTCAGATGTAATGCTTATTGTCTTTGCCCTCAACAGCCTCTCATTGTCCAATTTGGTGGGGTGTTCATCATTATTTGCCATTTTCCATGGAACGGGCATCCCTCGGCCATGAAAAAAACACGATGTCGCTGAACTTTCCCAATTGCGAACACGTCCGAATCGTCCCAAAACTTTGCTTGTATTTATCACCGCGCTTCCATTGCCTCAAACAGGCTCTACCGTCCAAATCTGGAGATCTCACCCATAGGGCCTGTTTTCATTGGAAACGCATCCCTCGCCAAAAAAAAAACTCGAATGTTGTTGTAACTGTATTGAAAATCAGTCAAAAAAAAGAAATCCAAAAACACCAACCAGACTTTCAGATGACAGTTAATGGTCCAGCCTCAAAAATGTCTATGCTCATTTAGTGTGAGTTTTCCTCAAAAGCTGTTGGCATGGCAATAAAACGGTAAATTGCTATAACCGGTATTTGCTATAAACTTTCCTATGAAAATTGTCAAAAAGTGCTAAAAACGTTCCAACATTTGTGGTTGCTAAACAGTCAAGCCTGTGAAAAGACATCTACGAGAACAGTTTTGAGATTTTCTTCAAATGTCGTTTTTGCCATGGCAAACACAGATGCTCGCATGAAAACACAGTTTTCTCATAAATTTCAATTGAAATGCTCCCAACAGCCCCAAAACTTCACAGGTTTGGTAACGATGCAGTCATTCACAAATAATCTTAAGTGTATTATGTGGGTGTTATCCAAATAACCGTTGGCCATGCGACAGATCATTCTTCCATTCAAGTTAGTTACATAGTTGTGAAGTTCAAAATATTTCTTGGCGTGCCTTTCTTACCTCTCTTTTTCTCTCTTATCAACACATTTCAAAGCCCCCCACTGTTTCATGGCTGTTTTCATATTCAATCTAAATTCTTTCACTTTCTTCTTACCAACATTACATTTCAGCATAAGTAATTTCAGCGTTCAGCTCTTTTCAGCATAAAGCATTCCCATACTAGCAATTTATTCCGAAATTGGCATTCTCTGCGTTTCATTTATGTTGTTGGGTGAAGTTTTAAGGTTAGATCAGGCGTCATTACGTGAACCCAAAAAACTAAAGTTAAAGGATCTGGCATGGTCGATGGTTGTAAAATCAGGGTGGGGGGAAACCTCCCGGCCTCCGCCGCCATAATATGGCCCTTGAGAGAAACCATTTGGTAACGGCGCCCTCGAGGTTAATTTTATATAAACACACGTAAAAAAAGAAAAAAAAAATTTCCAAGAAATCTAGAACCCAAAATAATTTAAACAAGCTTTGTTTTTTTTCCTGGCCCAGGTTCAGGGTCTTTGAACAACAAACACGAGCCTAAACGGTGTTCATCAAAGTTGGTATATGTCTCGTCTGACAGGAGTGTAGTTTCTTAAACGGGAGAGCAACCCAGCAAACGCGGTGGGACTTCCAAAATTGGCAATACCCATAAGGAGCTGTACACCATGCCGCAGTTTTTGCGTGGCTGGGTCTTTAGTTGAAGCCCAGTGGCGATATGGTTTCAATCCTGTTCATACTTGATCATACAGTTTTTCAAATAACGTTGTTGTTATAGCATTTTCTGGTTAGCTAGCTATTGATAACGAATATAGAAGCTTTTTTTCCAACCAGTGAGTAAAAGGCACATCTTTATATGAATCATTTATAGGTTATAGAAATAAGAGAATAAAAGTAAAACAGTGTATACCAATACTAATATTGACAGTAAAAAAAAAAAGTTGTTATTTAATAAACAAGATACAAGTTTAAAAGGGAAGGTGATTTGTTAAAAAAAATAATCCATAAAGGAAAAAAAAATTCTGCCTTACAGTTCTGTTTTCCATAAATGGGTGATTAGAGTTGTATCTATCCATAGATCTCTTTCATGTTGCTCTCAAAAGTGCAACAGATTTGCTGCTTTTTTAACTTCCACATTTAAAAAAAATCTTTCCTGGTGTGGTTGCAATGCCCCCCCAAACCCCCCGAGAATTAGGTTTAGATCCGCCCCCCCCAACCCCCACTTAAATCATGGGTCCACATGGATATGAAAACTAAATACAATTTGCACAACATTCTTGTGTTCCATTATCTTTCTGTTTTTTGGTGGTCATGCCCGGTGCATGAATGCGCGCGGGTCATGGTCAAATATCTGGATTAAGAGGTTGCTTTTTCTTTGCACAGCATGAAAGAAAGGCGAAATGAATGGGCTGTGATTTGAGTTTTTTAAGCAGACGCTGAGTTCAATAATTTGTACGGCCCTCGAAGGATGTTGTAAAAATTGAAATGGCCCTTGAGAGGAAAAAGGTTCCCCACCCCTGGTGTAAATGTATCAGTTAAGCTATGCAATTGTTTTTACTGTATTTGCAAATTGCTAAATAAATGAACATGAAAAAACTGAAATTAAACCATTACCACATGGCACACTGATTAGTGTCAGAATGCAGCCTTAATTTAGATTGTGTTGCCAAATCAATTCAAGCATTTGTTTTATAGCACCCTTGTTAATCTTTTACATTGTATTTACTTATCATGTTCTTAAAAATCATCCTTCACCTTTAGACAGTGCTACAGTGACCTGTTATTAATCACTGGGTTATGGCAACGCCATTAGCCGCTGTTATCTGATTAAGAAGAGGTATAAAGGGGATGTTTCTGCAGTTGGAGCAGCAACTACTGCATCATCATGAATTCATCTACAAGTTTAAAAGTGCGTCTGCCGGTGCTTGTTCTGGTGTTTGAGGTTGTTATGATCATTCTTTTTTCTCTTTTTGTAACGTATGATGACAATGCAAATGCAAGGCTGCAGAACAATGAGACTAACCCAATGGAGAACTCTTTTTATCGAGACTATCCCTACTTTGCTGACGTACAAGTAATGATCTTTGTAGGCTTCGGCTGTCTGCTCGCCTTCTTCCGATTTTACGGCTTCAGTGGAATGATCTTCAATTTTCTTACAGCTACATTCGCAATCCAGTGGGCGATCGTGATACAAGGTTTTTTCCAGTTTTACTATGATGGCAAAATTCACCTGGGAGTTGTCAACCTGCTGAATGCAGAGTTTGCCTGTGCCGTTGTGCTCATCTCTTTCGGAGCCGTTATTGGAAAAACAAGTCCTGTTCAGCTGCTGGTTATGGCTCTGCTGGAAATCCCTATGTTTTCTGTGGTAGAGTGGGCTGTATTGAAGTACATAAGGATCAATGACGCAGGCGGCTCTATACTTATTCACTTGTTTGCCTGCTACTTTGGTCTAGGCGTGACATTTGTGCTGTACCGCCCAAGCCTGAATAAGGGACATTCAAAAGAGATCACCAGTTATCAATCGGACATCCTCTCTGTGATGGGGACCTTGTTCCTCTGGGTGTTCTGGCCTTCATTTAACTCTGCTCTGACCCTGAAGGGTGACGATCAACACAGAGCAGTACTCCACACTTTTATAGGTCTGAGCTCCTCCACTATCACTGCCTTTGCTCTCTCTGCGGTGTTCAACAAGAGAGGCAAGCTCACAATGGCGGACATTCAGAATGTGACTCTGGCAGGGGGTGTGACTGTTGGGGCTACTGTGGACATGATGATTTCCCCTGTAGCCGCATACGTCCTGGGCATCATGGGCTGCACCGCCTGTTTCTTTGGATACAGGTACCTGACCCCCTTTATGGCTCGACACATGAGGATCCAAGACCAGTGTGGCATTCACAACCTGCACGGACTCACTGGCCTCATTTCATCCACAGCAGGGATCTGTGCCATCCTCCTCGCTACAGAGGAAACCTACGGGCCAAGCATGTACCAGATATTTTCCCATCGTGCTCCACCGGCGGGAGACCCAAAGCTCCTGGAGCTGCAGAAGCTGATTCCCGGGCTGAAGCCGGGCTTGGGACGTACTGCGCAGGAACAAGCCCTCTACCAGGTGGCAGCTATTTTTGCCACCATCGCAGCATCTGCTGTCGGTGGGCTGCTCACTGGTATGGTCATAAAGCTGCCCTTCATGGCTTCCCCTTCCGACAAGGACTGCTTTGATGATGATCTCTTCTTTGACGTGCCGTCTGACTTTGACAACGGACACCAGGCCCTCATAAGCTATGATGAAAAGTTACAAATGAGTTCTATTGACACCAAAGAAGTCTCAAAGTCAGTCTAAATCATTGCATTTTTTTTTAAATGTGTCACTATGTGAGAATGTTGAAATGTGTCACTTTCACAATTCTTAGGCTGTTTTTTTTTTCATGAAATTGCAAAAGGCAAGTAAAAGTGTAAAATACGGGTAAAAACAGTTATCACCAGGAAATAAATCTGATGTAATTTCAACTTATGTTTTGTATTTCCTTTCAAATAAACGATTTTAGGAAGTCAATGATGTGTATGTTGTTTTTAAAAACGTCTTGTTTAAATGTTGTAGCATGATTGAATAAAAGCATCTGCCTCATTTAATTTTGTTGTATCTTATCTTACATTTATAACTAATGGTAACTCAATGCTTACTGCTGCCTCACTGCATTGTTCAACATTGCACTTTGGTATGAACAGCTTTTAGTGACATAACACCAAAAATAATGAAAATGAGCATAAAGAGGAGTGCTTGAAAGATAGTTAACATATTGAATACCCTTTGTAACAGAAATGGGAGCAGAAGAAAAGTATAAAAGGTGAAATTATGAGTGATATTTGATATTGCAACATTTCAATTTAATATCTGATACTGCTTTTCAATTTGTAGACCCGATTGAGAAGTCCAGAAACTGTACACCATGACAACAAGCATAGTCAGATAATAATCCTGTAAGGGTTCATTTGCTAAAAGAGATACCTTCCTTTTTATCTGTTTTCCTTATCGTTTCTTAGTTTCATATCAGTTTTATTATATTTGTATTGTGCATTCAAAGGAGTATCATCAAACGTATGTTGGTTTATCAACTCAAAGGAATCTCCTGCTCAATTGAGAACGTTATCAGCATTGAACCGTTGGGATTTAATTCAATACCTCTCATGAGATGTCTACTCATCATCTGTACAGTAACAGCACATGTGAATGTATGAGCTAAGATATAAACACATTCATTAACACATTTGATCTGGAGGTTTACCTGAATGTACTGTATAAAAGCGAACATTTGATTAATTAACAAGCCAACGAGAGTGAGTATATTTTATTGACTGTATTTTACGGTGCACAATAGTTTTTTTATGGCGTAGTTTATTTTAAAAGATATCACACCCCCCCACTGCCACTAATAATAAAGTATATTATTGCATGACCAACTCATAAACTTCTGATAATGACAGGCCTCCAGCCAACCTTTCCAGTGATAAAGCCAGGCTCTTCTGTTTCCTTCATCACAAAGGTTATTGATTTACTCTGTCAGCAATTAAGTATTTTACTTTCTACTTAGTGTATCAATAGATTAGTGGGACACTTTAGCTTTTTATATTGCACCTCACTAAAGTAAATCATGTGTTTCTGTTCACAAACACGTCATTATGTCCTTAAAAAAGTAATGTCATTAGTTATAAAGCTTGCACTGTATCTTATCTTAACTGATCTAATATTCCTTATCTAATCATGGGCATTGGCTAAGCAAAGTTCTATCTCATTTCTACGTAAAATGCATTATATTTAAAGTTCATAAGTCACAGAGAGCTGATATACTTTGAAGTTGACCCTCATTATCTTTACGTGAAAGTCATTTTTATGGAAAATGTATTTACTGCTGATAAGTAATAATTGGGCGTACTAAATGAGCACACACATCACTTTTTCAAGAGGATATATCACGTAATATTTCATTGTTATTTTATAGAGAAAGTAAAGAAAAAGACATGGAAACATAACTGTGTAATTGTAAAATCAGGAGTCATAATGTGGTGTCCAGTGTCTTTAATGCATGACCTCATTTTCTGGAACACAATGTATCAATAATAATTATTATAGAAGATTATTATGCTTCCTTAACTGATTCCACTGTCAGCATAAATAAGATTTTTATGATGTCAAATACAAAGTACAGACTAAGATAATAGTTTTTCCCAAGAATAGTTTTTGGGCCTTATTGAATGAACAATATGTGTTAAAGCATACTTAAAAGCAATAAGTAAGGTGCGAGTTGAAGTCACTCTTGTTGTTGACTTGGATCTGAGTGGTTTAAACATGAATCATCTTATCAAAAAAGGTTACCTGAAGTAACCTTAAGGATTCACGAAGGATAACAAAAGGACAAAGAGCTGACATTTGCAGTCTAACACTTCCTCAGTAATCAGAGGGTCAGCTAAACACTCTGCAGATCTTGGTAACTGCAGTTGGTTGTCTGAGCTTCACCGTGCAGATTGATTTTGTGTTTTATTTTACATTCATCCCATGAAGGGGGAAAGTTTCCACGTGCTCACATTAAATCTCAGTCTCACATGAGCATGATTTGGTGACATCACAACTGTTTGAAGAGGAAACCTAAAACATAAGGCTGCTACTTTTGGTGGAGCAAAAATATGGGGAACATTATTATTCAAATCAAAGTATTTTAATGTTTTAATAATCCATGTTTTTCATATGCATACTGGTAAACAATATGTATATGTAGCTTAGAAATAATGTAATAGGAAATGTACAATCAAATGCTTCATCAACACTAGAGCAAGGCAAGTCCAACAAATGTATTAAACATTGTCTTGGAAAACTGGACACATTTTATTATTGTGCCTGGGCCTTCACTACTTCACCACAGAAAGGCTGTCATATTTGATGTAATGACAGAAAACAAACAGTGCCCTCCAGTGGTGGGGGGTCAGCCTGCACAAAGAGCATTGATGGCCTCTCAAAGATGGTTGGCGTAATCTTCTCCGCTCTCTGCAGGGTTGACGGTTTTGGTGCGTTGGGTTTGCACAGAGGCATACAGATCAGACACGTTGGAAACAAAGTCAGGGTTGCCTTCATCTTCCTTCTCTGACTCTGAGGGCTGCTCTAAATGAACTACATCTGAGTACTGCATCTGTGGAGAGCTGCGGCCCGACTGCGGCCTGGGAGGTTTCAGGGTCAGGTTAGCATAGCAGTCCTGAGTACTGGACTGGAGGGAGAAGCAAAACACATATGTTATATTATGTCTTCACCAAATAATTATATTCCTAGGTTTATAGTTTTGCAAATAACAATAATTTGTACAACTTTTTCAAAGACTTCTACCTAAATAATTAAAATGTAAACACTCTACCTGTGAAGTAGGATCAACTCCTGTGAACAAAGCTGTGCCTGTTGAAAACAACATCACACTGTAATAGGACTCAGTTGAAGGCGTTGTATGGAAATAGACACATGTGAAATGCACTTACTTGTTGCGATGAGGCCAATGTTTCCATAAATAGGATTATCTTCCATCTGTCTTGAGCTCAGCCTTAATTTGGAGAAAGTAAAAGGATATTTTTGTTCTTATATTTTCACTTTTGGCAATGACATCTGACAATGCAGACCGTTATAGGAGATCATGTTGCCTTTTCTTTAATATATAAGCCACATACCTTCTTCTTGTCCTTTGTTTACATAATCCTTTTCCTGTCGCAGTATAAAAAAAGACACCATCAGATACAGAAAATACATTTGCTTTCTTTGGATTATGAACTAGCAAATAAGGAAATGACTGTACCTGAGCAATATTTTGACACCCAGCAAAACATATTCAAAACTATTGAGAGGACCAGCATCGCGCTGATAACACAAAACAGCAGCCTATAAGGAAACGGCACGCAGCTCCAGTCTAGAGAAACAGAAAAAAAATGAATGATACTTATTATGGATGAATAAAAATAACTGAATACACACTGCTAATGAATATAATCTTCTTCTTTTTTATATAATTGGTGTTGGATTTGTTTCTCCACCAAAAAGCTACTTGATTTATAAAATCATCCATTTGGATTGAAAAATCCAGAATCTAAAATGTGGATGTCCAAATATTTACTTTTTAAAGTTTAACTGTAGGACCAATCTCTAGAGGCCCCAAGTTTCCATATACTTACCACATTTCAATTGTGTGAGGAAACCAAATGACTTGAGATAACCTCTGCAGACATGAAAACGGGGTGGGGGTGCCAAGGCAAGTTTATTTCCAGGCCACATTTCCATCACAAAGACAGTTGAAGGACCATAATGATAACAATAACACACCAAAGACATGACAGTACAACATACTTTTAAAGGAACAAAACATCTTCATAATGCTGTGAAATATGTGTCCAATTTCAAAGTCAGTATACAGAAAATGACACAATACATGTCAAAGCCGATCCCCATTCTCATTACAAGGGCAGGTTGCAAATTGAGCACAGTGCATCTTCTTGTTCACAAATCTCTCCCTGAGTCATATGGCTGGGTTTGTCACATGGAGTGCAATGGTGACAAAAAAAGATTTGATAGAAAGATAACACAGAAGTGGTTCCCTTGATCAACAGATTTACACCACCTGTGTGCATTCATTGCATCTGCTCAGTCGCCTGCTGCGGAAGATGTGGTTTGTACCGAGACGCTTGCACATGTGAACGTGTGCTTGCACAATGCAGTAGGTTTATTTTGCAAAAAGACATGCTGAGCAAAACACACTGGATGCGTTTCCTACTTCGAAAAAACATTTGCAACGCTTTGTTTTGGTCCAACATACCCAAGATTAACATTTCACTGAACATATCTTGCATATCTTGTCACTACACTTTCTTCATCCTCCCCACAACATTTATAATAAGATTCCCATTAAAAATGATTTGTCCCTTGCAATCACTTTTTCCATCACAAAAGTCTCTCTCTGACAAAGACCGTTAGTCCATATGAGAGATGAAGAAATTGGTGAAAATGTTAATGCACTTATTTTCTCAAATGTAACTTTTCTGCCCTGCATAAAACCTCTAAATCTACATGCATGCTTCCCTGCAGTACCTTATAGTTATTTTTGACAAACAAACAAACACTCACCATGTCAGTCTATAGCCAAAAATAACACAACTGAAATCAAACTAATCAAAACATCCTTAAATGTAAACAATTAATGTACAGAATATATCAATCAAATAAGTATTTCAAATCCCAAGCAAAGCATCCTGGAAGGAGAGTATTATTCCTATTTAGGTGCCTATCATTTGTTTCAGTTTAAGTGTTTTTTTTAAATCCACATTTGTTTCTAGTTTATTTAAACAGGCTGTTCACTGTGTTTCACTAACCACCTTCACTTAGTTGCAGGTAATTTAGAGAGTTTGATATAAGGATTAATGAGACCACATTGTTCGGGTGAGACTTTACTGCTAATACCATGTAAATAAATATATGTCACAAGAAAAAGCCGTCAATTTAAATGTAAGTTAAGTTATCCAAGTATAATCAACATGTAGTTATTATTTCCTGGCAATAAACTCAAAAATAAAGAGGATTGCTCAAGTCTCCAAAATCTAAATATACAGTATCATGTGGACACAGTCATACCTATACTTCTATCTCACATCAACTTCATCGTCATTCAAATTTAGATGATCCTTTCTAATGCTTCTATCAAGACTTACCAGGTTCAATTGTGCAATTGAAACCAGCCATGGCATTGAAGCTTTAATCAGGAACAATTCGCTCACGATGATTGTCTCTCCAACTCTATTATAAATGTGAAAAAGACTACAGCACCTGTTGCATGTTTTCCTCTGGGTGTGATGTCGCTCGAGAAGGTTTTTTCTTTTTTTGTTAACACGTTGCAGGATGTGTGCTTCTGCAGAAAACCACAAACTGTTTTTAGATTGAGAATAACATCAAGGTAACACAGAGAGAGAGACTGGAATGAATATTATTGAATCAACCTATTTTTAATGAAATGTCAAGAAATTCCTTGTATGTAATGTCAAAGTTAAAAGTTGACGTACAATATTGTAACATTAAACTTAATATGTATTATTTAGTAAGAAACACAGTTTATTGGGTTGATTCCCCTTTAACCCTCCATCTTCAATTAAACAAGATATACATATGTCAAATAAAATGATGCATTAACTCAGGGGTTGCCAAACTTTTTTTGTGCTGGTCTATAGACAGGCCAGTGACCGGCCAAAAAACAGCAAATGTGGAGTTTCTAAAGATTCACACTGCCATAGAAAATCTGTGTCTCCATACCAGTAACCCATTTGCCATAGAGAAATTATTATCTTTCAAAATAACTACCCAACACTACCGCAGTTTAGCGTTGCCATTACATTTTTTTTTTAGTGTACTGCTCTTAAATTTAGACTGTGAGCAGCTAGGACAAAAATAAACTAATTACAATCACTGAGACAAGCCAAGTTCGAAGGAAAAATGATGTTATCGCCTTAAAATGCAGCACAAGAGTGAGATAATGTTGATTTGTTTAACTTTTATTATGGTTACCTTCATGAAACGGAAGTAAACCTCTTTTTATAGGTTGACCTGCTAAACCTGGGCTGCAGCAGGCCTCTGTAAAACAATATGGAGGTAGATGTCCCCATGGAGTATAGATCTATTCAAAACCTGTAAACTAGTATCCTGGATTGAAGTCCTATCCTGGTTTAAACATATTTAAGAAATATTGTTTACATGGACCACAGTTAAAGGATCTCCATTATGCTCATTTTCAGGTTCATATTTGTATTTTGTGCCTCTACTGTGACATGTTTACATGCTGTTCAAAAAGTGCTTTATTTCTCTATACTGCCTGAAACCAGAGCCCAGTCTGCTCTGATTGGTTAGCTGGCCGGCTCTGTTGTGATTAGTAAACCTCTTAGGGATGTTTGTCATCTATGCATTTATCAGATCGTTTAGATATTTGAGTGCTCTTAACAATCTGATCATTTGAATACAAAGCCAAGGAAGATAACGGTCTAGCCTCTGCTATTTTGATTACTTCACTGTAGTTTTCTCATAGTAAAATGTTCTTACATGCACACTGCACACCTTATTTCTTAATCATTTGCGATGAATATCCTTTCAGTGAAGTGGCAGCTCGGACCTGACACGTCCTCCAGCTGCTTCTCAGGTCTGTTTTAACACATCCCACCCACCAACACTGGATGAGTGGCTTCCTGCACGGCGTGTGGGCTCCTATAGGTCAAGTCATGTCCTCCTTCACATCATGATGCACAGTTATTTAAAGAGATCGATCTGTTGAGGATCTGGGAGTTTTAGGCTTTACCAGAGGAAGCTGTGCACATATGACACATGGTTTAACATGATGGGTTTAAAAAAACTGCTCATCTTGGTAACAGCTTGTTCTGCCTTGTAACTCCCTGATCTCTATTCTCTGCTCATAACATCGTTGTATGACATTTTGAAAGATGAGAGTAACAGTTTCAGGGATGTTTTCTTTTTAGGTTTCAGTATAAAGTCTGCTTTTGGTGCAATTCAGCTACAGTGACATCTTGAGGTTCATTGCTTTATCCACATCCTACACTGTTTTTGTCTTTCTTCCCCATGATTTCAGTCAGTACCTGACACGAAGTTAACACAAACTGGGAACATCAGAGAATGATTCTTTATTTCTGAATTAGACTCATTATTGTACAACAATTGTAGTGCAAGGACATTAACAGTGACTTTTTAAGTTTTATCAAAGCCTATCCGTATACTTACAGGAATACCTGTCACATTGACCTAATAATAAATGAATGGTATATTGTAGATGATCAAAAAATTGTGACAACATCTGGAGAACACAATGTTTACACTCTGTGCAAAATTGCACAATGTATGAAATGAAAGTAAAAAATGTGAGCGAGACATGTTTTATGGCAGTAACATTCTCCATGAGTAAAACACAACCTTCAAGCCGATTTTCTGTAGTTATATGTTGGAACAATTTTTACTTAGTGTGATTTTCAGATCTTTAAACACATTTTGCAAAGATATTTCACTGTAAGAACATGATTACTTAATCTCTTCAACAATTATTATTTCCAGTGGGCATTCTTGCACATTAATAGCCACATTATGCATTCATAACATTTAATTTTGAAGAGTCATACATCAATAGATTGAAAATATATATTCCAACTCATATAAAAACCTATTTAAAAAATAAGCATTTAATAATAAAACCATTCAATTAGGCAAACCTGTTACTATAATAGCCAATTATATAAACACCTCGTGTACATTCTAATGTTTGCTCTATTAACCTTTATCCAATGTATTTTTCTAGCTCATTGTCTATATTGTGGTACAAATCCCCAGGAGACTTGTGATATCAAATGTATTGTAAAAAAGGTTATTCACAAAACTTTAAAACACATCAACACACTCAACCAACCAACCCACTGAAGCTCTGGTAGTGAGCCCTCCCTCCTCCCCACAGCAGGCGGGTCTTCGCTCCCCTTGTCCCGCCTCTTCCCCGCAGCTATCCTCTCCTCTCCTGAACGCTGATGTGTTACTAACTTCAGCCTACAACTCTGCAAAAATGTTTAATTTTGGGTCAAAAATGCTGCTGGTCTTCCTCCTGGCCTTCCCCTGTGGATTAATGTCCATCGGTAAGTCACATTTCTCGTTAAAAGCAGGAAGTGTATATCTTCGCTTCACTACGGCAACAGTTACAAAAGTTGTTAGATAGCCTCACATATTGACGTGGCATAGTCACACAGCTTTCCACCAGGAGCTATACGTCCTCACCGCCACTTTCCTACCTTCAATGTATGGAGCTTTTACTTATAAGTTTATTCATGATTATAAGAGAGTTGTAGCTCGTCTCTTTTGCTCTAAAAAGGATCGTCTCCTAACAGCTGCTGGCGTCGAAGCTTTAGAAAAAGTAACGTCAGCCATTAAAAGTGAAGTTGCGTTACACTTTGTGCTCTTTAGAGGTGATTTTAGACAAAGTCTAAAAGTCGTTGTTTATGCAGCAACAGTTAACGCTCCGTCCTGCTGGGACACGTCACCATAGATAAGATGGTGACTTACTGTATACAAGTTTGTGTTTCTACGTTTCTCTTACATTGCTTCTCCCAAACACTTAAGTGGGGGCTTTTTATTGTCCTGGTATTTTTCATTTTTTCAACTGGCAACAAAGTGGCCAGTTTGTCCACAGACAGGGAAATATGGCAATAATAAAAATGTTACAATGTGGTACAACATGTACACATCATCCATTCATTTTACTTTGAAATATTGTAGAAACCGCTTAAATATAGCAAAATATCACTTTTGAAAACATGTAATTCATTGGTTGTTTTGGTGAATGGTCTAACTAGTGCCAAATATTCCATCTTTTCCACCAACAAAAGTTATTACAGAAGAGAACATCATATTGATTCACTCGCTTTTGTAACCCTATAACCAATCAATAAGAACGGTGTGAAATCGACAAAAATGCCTTATTACTGATATATTGTGATTTATTTGGTGGTTACTTGGGAGATCTATAGGAATTTGTACAAGCTATACACAAGTGATATGATAAGTAAAACCGTAGTAAATTATTTTATGATATAAAAAGGTCGTTTATTGTTCATTATGCTCACCAAAGACTGTTATAAAAACCAACAGGAAAACACAATGCATTAGTATAAGATCTGACAATAATCAACATCCTTGACAGTATATTATATAATCAATATCTTTTTGTCTTCTCCCCTGCAGGCCATGTCTCTGCAGACTCGGACTCTGCTGAGGACCTTGCGGAGGACCTTGCGGAGGACCTTGCTGAGGACACTGCTGAGGACACAGAAGCTGCAGTAGATGAGGAGGAAGATGAGGAAGAGGTGCTCGTTGAGGAAGATCAGATCCAACCATCGGTATGTTTTAATCATACAGCAGCAAGGCAAGCCATTGGATTTACATGCAGATGATCAAGTAACAATGTCATTTGATGTTCCTCCTCAGGAAGCAGAGGAAGAGGACTCTGATGACGGAGCGGATAAACAGATAGGGTCTCACCCTGATGCCGACACCACCATCCTCTTCGTGACTGGAGAAGGTAGGCTTTCATTTAACCATCATCATTCAAGCTATTCTTTCAAGAGACAAAGACATTTTGCATCTTTGTTATGACATCTAATAAGTCATACTTCATCTGTATTCGTGTTTTTAACATTATATTTATTTGTTGTTTTCATTAATTTAGAGTTCCCTGCCAATGAAATTGTAAGGTTCCTGGTGGGTTTCACCAACAAGGGCAGTCAGGATTTCACCGTTCAGTCGTTGGAGGCTTCCTTCCGTTACCCACAAGACTTCCAGTTCTACATCCAGAACGTAAGTTACGACTGAAGTGCATAAATACATATTATTGCACACACATGTGCTCCACCTTTAATACAAATCCGTTAAAAAATACTTTAAGAATGCAATTCTCTGTTGACGTGTTTTAAATCACTCAATGTCTGTGTTTCAACGTTTTTGGAATGTAGGTGTATAAGAGTATGTTAAAATATAAATCAGGTTAGAATACATATCTGTATGTGGTAAAAGAAACATAAAATACAGGCATAATTCTGCTTGCTAAGTTAAGACCATGAAAATATAGAAATTACAATATAAAAAACACTATAACAATTATGTACACTGCCAGTTTAATGCAGGTACAAAGTACTCATAATATTGAAAGATATTGATATTATTCAATATGATTTTCCGGCCCTGCATGGATTTCATGATTTCTTTTTTGACATTCAGAATAAAAATTCACATTTGTTTTTAATGACAAAACTATTTCCAATTTCAGGATCATTAAAGTATATCTAATCCGATCTAGTTATCTTCTGCATGTGTTTTAACGTTAAATGTTTTGTGTAGTTCACAGCGTTGCCTCTGAGCACCGTGGTGCCGCCCCAGGCTCAGGCCTCCTTCGAGTACTCCTTCATCCCAGCACAGCCCATGGCGGGCCGTCCTTTTGGTCTGGTTATCCTCCTCAACTATCTAGACACTGAGGTAAAAAGGATTTTTATTATTTATTTATGAATAGCATTTATTATTAGTGGTGGCGCTTGAGGTCTGTTAAGGTTGCTTTGAGAGCAGAAGTAGATTGATGGGAGGAAGTATTCTCACAGCCCGACTTAAATTTTGAATGACTAATGAAAGCGCATACCTGACGAAAACAATGTCAGCAAAGCAGTTTGTCTTCATATTCGTATATTTGTTTCCATTTTTACATAATTAGGATGACTGGTGGCTCCTCACTCTCATTATGTTCTACCTGCTGCTGAGCTTTGACTGTTGTTTTGTCGTAATGACATTCACATTTTTAAAGAATCGCTCTTCTAAAAAAAAAATCCATAAAGTTATTCCAAGGTATCTATTTGCTTTGATTCTTTGCTAACTAGTTTTGTTTTTTACATTTCTTCAGGGCAACACGTTCCAGGCGGCCATCTACAACCAGACTGTCACCATCACTGAGCTGGAAGAGGGAATTGACGGAGAAACGTGAGGCTCTCTTTTGCTGATCTCTAACCCTGCACACTTACTAGGAAAATATAAATCAGGTTCAGATTATTTTAGTTGTTCTTGTAGGTAGATTTAGTTTGCAGTTAAAAGACATCGGATCCATTATGACACATGTTTTAAAACAAGACAGGTAACAGGTAAATAAATAAAGCTTTCCCATACTATTTCACTGCAAAAATTAAACGGACTTCGCAAACAATAGGGTGGCAACAAAATGATTGAATCAGTAATGGATGAATTAAAAGGATTTCTGCTTCTCAGTTTTATGTAAATCATGTGTGAATCTAATTATTTTACCCCATTATTTCTTATTTGAATCATCCTTTCAGGCTGTATACAGCTCTCTAAAGCTTCACAATTACAATCTTCACAGACTATTGCAGCGCATGTAGGAACCTGTAAAAAAGGAGGTGTGAAATTGGCACAAAGAGATTAGTTGTCAGAATTGTGCTGCTGGTGCAAGATGCAGAAACTGTCACCAGTGAATTATTAAAGAAATACAAAATGTTTTCCATCCTAAAATCTCAAAACCAATCTAATCCTCATTTCAGATACTAGATTAGTTAAAGGTTATTTTAAAGGGCTCTAGGGGGCAGATTTTGTTAGACTGGTCTTGATAACAATGTGCAGTTGATGATAAAGGTATCTGTTTGCTTGAATACTGTTTTTTTGCTATCATTCTTTAATAAGCAAACCGCAGAATATTATGAAGAGGGAAAAATTAATCTTCAACTAGCTTGGTTGCTACAGGTATTTAACTAAAATGCATTACAAAAAAAGGATTTTATACCTAGATAATGCATAGTGTCTATGTATGTACATTAAATGATGTCTTCAGTTATCCACAAGCATTGCACCGCTCTCAGAGCATGGTATGGAAAAGCATCATCTTACACTGGAAATCGTTTTATTGATTTAACATGTAATACCATTTGTTTTTGTTCGGCAGAATGTTCTTGTACATCTTCCTGGGTGGACTGGCGGCTCTGGCGCTCTTTGGGGTGTACCAGGTCCTGGAGACGAGGACGGTATGTGTTAGTCTTCAATCAGCTGTTTTATTTTGCCTACTGGTGTACCAATGCAAATGTAATAAAGTGTTGTCATATCTACAGCAACAAATGGATTAAAGTGCACATTAGCAAGCAGTGGCATGCATCCTAACTCCCTCTAAAACCTTCTCAAAAAGGGATATGTGGATGTTGAAACAATGGTTTTAAAATTATTCATGTTGTCTTTTTCAGAAAAAGAGAGTCCCAGTGAAAATAGAGAAGGGCACTGGTGGAATGAGCGACGTGGACATCAGCTGGATTCCTCAGGAGACTCTCAATGTCATGAGTATGTTCATTTTTGATCCCCAACCATTACAAATAATTACAGTTTAAACAGAGAAGTGATTCATTTGGTCATATTACTGATAATTGCCATGAAAATAAAATCTGATCTTCACATCCTGTCTTACAGACAAGGCTTCCCCTAAAGCATCTCCACGAAAACGGACCAAGAGGGCAGCTGGTACAGATCAATAAAACCATCCGTCATCATACAGTCCAGCAGGCTTTCAAAGCTAATTTCCTCACCACAGTAACCCGATTCCCATTTGCAATGGAGCAACATTTCCAGTCTGAGCCAAGTGCTAAAGATGTTTGTTTGGATCTCATCCTGCTGCTCTGCTGGAGCCTTGACCGGAGAGCATCCCGGACTGGAAGGCCATTTAGACACTAACAGGACTGAACTACAGCTCATTTTTTAAAGGGACTTTTTTATCGGTATGTGTGTGTGTGAAAGATGAACCAATAAGTCATTAACCTTTTTGCATTGCGGTACAAACTACAAAAACACGATACAAATATCTGACACTGCCTGTATGAATGTTTTCCAGTCAAAATGGTTAATTTGGATATTGTTTCTGCATTTTTAAGCTTCAAAACATTGCTATTTCATCTGTTGAATGAGATGAATCCCCCTCCTCGTAAACACCATTGTGCCTTATCTGCAGTGTTCTGCCAAGCATTAATGCTAAGAAAAACAGTAGATACAATTGATTCTAAAAGTTTTCCTCACTTCTGCTTTTAACATCAAGACAAATATAGCCTGGGGTTTATGAAAATAAAAACATTTGCATTTCAGTGGGGCAATGCCGCTGCATTTACAACCAATGTTAAAACAGTGTTCTCTGGAGGTTTCTGCGGGTTGGTTTACCTTTTTTTCTTCTTTTTTTGTTACTATGTGCTGGTGATGCCGTCTGTTAGATTGCATACCATTACTTTTGGAGGAAAAAAGTGTTTTTTTAAACAATAAAAAGGTGAACAAAGTGTATTTTTCAATAATGATTATTTTCAATAATATTACTAATGACTATTCAGTTATCTGTAGTCTATGACAATTGGTGGTTTATGCTACTTATGTTTATGCAGTCTTCAGTTTCAGTGGATAATGTAACTCAAGGAAACTCAAAATGAAATTAGTTTCCAACTACAATTATTTATCAATCGAATGAATGTTTGGGCTACACAACCTCAGAAAATAGTGAAATTGCATACATGATAAATACACATGTATTTGAGTTTAAATGTGCAAAATGAACAGATCAATCTATTCTACTTTATCTCAAATTAGTTGATACTCACATACTTTTTAGATTCTTTAAATATCTTTCAGATCCTAATTTTATTTCATTTTGCAATTGAACACGTTGAATACTGGCATCACTTTTTTCCCAATTGACAATCTATATCATTTTAATAACACAGGACTATGTACTACGACAATATTAGGCCTACCAAATTACATTGTCATTCCCAGGAAATAATTAGGAGACAATGCAACTGTAAAATATGGCATGCACCCAATATTTTCATTGTGGACAGGACTGATAACATATTATAGCTGCAGTCTTTTATGATATGCTACACAGCATTAAGCATAGTGGAATAGGGTGAAGCTCATACATTGAGATAACATAAGATACAAATCTACAAAGTATGAGAAAGTGGATGATAACAACAGGCAGGAGCATCCTGAGAGTCCTGCCGGTGTTGCGTGAGTGTTGCAGGAGGGTTGTACGGAGGTTCCTCCTCCTCGGGGAGGTCAGAGCTGTCCGGTGCTGAGAGGGAAGAAGATGAGCTCAGCGCGCGCCGGGGGGCAGGTAACGTCAGCAGTCGGCCGGAGCAGAAAAAGACTATACACACACAAACACACACACACATACACATACACACAGGCTCACACCAAGTGTTTATCTCCGCTTCATCTCTGATACACACCGACACACGTTAATGATGGGCGGATAAGCAGCTCCGTGAGACTGAGCTCCGCTTTTTTAAAATTGCTTTTCACGAGTGCCTCGGCAGCATCCCGCGCCCTCCGCTTGGCTTGAGATGGGATGATATGGGATTTTTCATGTCGACGAAGATCGGAGGGATACTCGCGTTTGCCCTGGGTAAGATATCTCAAGCTGCTTCGTGGTATTATTTAAACTATGAGCCACTTTGGATGAGTGAAAACTAAAAACGGCCTCTTTGTATCTTCACACATCAGAAATCTATCTTATCTTTTATCTCCATCAGTGTTGCATGGGGGTTGTGAGACCTGCACCGTGCAGGTTGTAGTACACCCATCAACGGTAGTGGGGTCTCTTTATTGTGCAGACTTATGGACATGCAATATCCAAAAATAATACGATTTATGTCCCACAAGTCCTACTTTTATATTTATACTTAATATTTTGTCTGTAAGTGTTGCTTGCTTTGCGTTATCCTCTTGCATAATGTTGTATTGACATGTTTTATATCATTTAAATCAGAAAAACATCATTACACACCCATGTGAAAGTAAAACACTGGGGTGCAGTGGTGAAAACTATTGTCTGATAACATCTGCTTCACAGCCCAACGCCCACTGTATAAAGTGAATACTAAATGACAGGAAGGGAAAATATTTAAATTCCCATACTAAAAGCAATGAAAAACCTGTGCATGTACTCATGAAACAACTAAAACAAACATTACATTAATATTGTGGTTATTATAGCAGAAGTTGCATGATGATTGTTAGCTGTAATAATGTGGGGAACATGGTAGGGAAAAATGAACCAGAATGAGGAAATAACAATAAATTAATTACCATGAATAACTAATAAAGCCGTTCACTGTGTCTGTTTTGCAGTATTTCTGTCCCTGATGGTGTCAGGAAACTTGGATGCTGACGCTAAGTGTGAGAACATTTATAAGGACTTTTCTGATTGTGTCCTGGAGCTGGGAGACAGCATGGATAACTATCAGGAGAACGTGACGAGCGAGACGGGAGTGGCAGCCGTGTGCAGGTGATGATAACTTCATTAGTGAGGCAGTGTGCGAACAGCATGCAGCATTTGCACACATGGCACATCCCCTGTATGTGTTGTAATTAAACTGATGAAGTCATTAAACCAGAGAAGGCAAAACTGTAAGCTGAAAGTGATGTGTTAGAATAAAAAGTGAAAACCACTAATCTTCCGCCCGGAACACAAAACTTTATTTCTGTTCAATTTGTTGGAGGTAGGGCATGATTTAGTGGACTAATATATATATAGAGGGTGGGTCGTAACAATATAGAAGGACACAGTTTAAAGAAGCTTTCTCACAAAATGCTGGAGAGAAAAAGAGCAGAAGCCACAATCTCAGAGGGAGAATAGAGAAATGGTGCTGAGACACTGAGCCACTGTACTAAATAATTTATGACTTTGCTGCAGCAGTAATGAAATTCTGGGGACGTTTTTTATCATTGTTACTGCACGCACTCTACAACCCCAGCACTGTATATTGAAGACAAAGATTTACACATAAGCCTTCTGTCGGAAATTGCCCTCTTGCAATATCATCTGCGATATTGTTTCACTCTCGGATGCAGTTGCCATGGTAATTAAAGCTCAGTTTGACTTACGTGAAGCCATCGTGGCCGTCTGACAGAGATTACTGGCAAGCAAATTAATCCACGACAGACAGTGCAGGTCTGCATGCTGGAGCCGGGATAAACACTTGACAGACGCCAGTGTTGATCTGATGATCTTTTTGTTTGCCACAGCCACTGGGAAGCTTTCCACACGTGTGCCCTCACAGCGCTGTCCGACTGTCAGGAGGAGGTGAGCTCCATCTGGGAGAATCTGAGGCAGGACTCCACCAAGTTGCGCTTCCAGGGAAGTCTGTTTGACCTGTGCAGCCCCAGCTCCTCGCCTAGCATCAGCTCGCCTCTGGCGGCCCTCACACTGCCTCTGATGGGTGCAATGATCATGGCCGGGCCCAACTGGTATCCTGTATAGATGGTGGGGATTGAGGGATTGAGGGTGAGGGCCTCACATTCCCCTGGGTCAGTCCTTTGAGTTCAAAACTGAAGCCAAGGATTTAAGAGGATAAGGATTATTATCACACAGAGCCATCAATATTTGCTTGGAAGAATAATACTTCAGCTTGATCCCCCCTTATGTCGAGAAACTGAGTTGAGAAAATTACATTTCAGCCAACTTATCAATCGAGAGAGACTTGAGTATTCAAAGGATTTCAGATACAATGTAAGCAGGCCAGTCACACACATATTGCTCTGGGTTACTGATATTAAAGAAGTGGACACAAAAGCATGAACACCCTTGCAATCTAATTTAATGAAGATTATATATTATTATTATCATGTTTGGTTCTTGTCGGTTCTAAAGTTTAGTTTATTTAGATTAAATTACATTAAATAAGAATTGACGGATAGTTTGACTTTTTGCAGGTACAGGACAGTGCAGGTACATTTTTTGATATCTCTCATAAGCAATTTAGTAAAATAAGTAAGAAAAAACCATCAAAGTAAATACACACTACATGCAATATGAATTATAAAAATACAGACAATGAACAATTATACTTAAATGTATTGCACCAAAGAGGACTGTTGAGAGACATACAGGTAAAGGACACAGTATTTGTGGTTTTCATTAAGGTGTTCATGTTTTTATACCCTCTTCCTGTATATTGTGTTTTATGGGATAGTTCAACATTTTGGGACTTAGCCGATGCTATACTTACCTCATGTCTGTATTCTAAATATATAAGTATGCTAGTGCCATCAGCCAGTTAGCTTAGCTTAGCACTAAGCAGCTCCTCTAACTGCTCAAAGCCAAGAAATAGTTTGGAACATCCCTGTAAAACCACAACTTTTTACAACTTTGTACAGATTTAACAATCAAATCTATAATAGCAGCTTTAGTTTACAGACAACTTGGTGGTATCCATTGTCACACGAAAGCACATTTAAGTGTATTTCTGAAAAAGTGGAACTATCCCTTTAAACAAGAGCTACATTTTAATCCCCAGTGAGTTTGTATAAATAAAAACAATCCATCATACAATAATTACCTGTCACATAACAAGAAAACATTTAAAGCAGCATTTCAGCAACAAACAAAAAACAGCAATATCCCCATACATAATGTCACTATCAGTCATTAAAACAACAGGATGAAAAACCATGAAAAAGATGGAACCAGACATTAATCTGACTGGATTCCAACTTTATTACACTAAAGCTAGCAAATAAACACCATCCAGATAAAGGTGAAAAGCCCCTTTATTCTGTTGTCAAGCGTGCTGAATGTTTGTGTTTGTGACAATCAAGCCACTTTACCCCTCCAACACTTTGGCCCAATGTGGCTGATGTTGCATGGCTGCTATAAAGACACCAAAAACATCCTGACACTAAACACCACCGAAACATCACTTTAAACTACTTCATAAACACAGTATGGCATACAGACTACACATGGGTGGATATATTGCAGAGATTGTTAAGGAAGAATCGATATATTATGAAAACTCCCCAAATAATCATATTTATGAGTACTAAAACACATCATTTATTTCAATTGAAACACTCTCCAATTGAGTAGAATATTATGCAACAGTGAAACAATTGCTTATTTTTGTAAGATATCTATACAATCACTTTTGTATCAATTGTATTTCAATTACAGATTTACTCATTAATGAATTGCATATTTACAATATCAAACAAAATACTTTACCAACTGTGATGCTCACGTTATCTGTTTAATGCTTTAAATCTATATTCCTTTGAGAAACGTTGGCATGATTTTAAGCATCAGAAGCAGCCAAGAACGACTGAATCTCGACAGAAAAAAAGCATCTTTGTTACAGCTTAAAACAAAAATAACTGGCAAGATCTCCACTCATGTAACACTGGTAGCCAATAGGCTGTGTGATGTATCACAAATTGTAATGGTGAATACAAAATCAATGTTCAGGTTAAAATCATCTCACAGAAATATGATGTTTTATTGCAGTGCTCATCATAGATTCTGAGCACACTGAAAATGAATGAGCGAAAGTCTCAATTAGTTTTATTTGTTTGTTCTTCAAAAACGGTGTCACCATTTGCATATTTATTTTTAATCTTGACGGTCCTCATAGGCCTTTTCAAAAATATGGATGATTTCCTGAATATTTGATACCTTTGATCCAAAATGCATGATACTTTTAGTGACTTCATAATAATGAACAGTCTGTTGATGATAACTTGGACTACATGTGCAGTGGTATTGCTCTGCGCATGCAGTTATAGCATCCTTTGCAGATCCTGAATCCACCCACCTCCACCTCTTCCAGCATGTTTGTTCTAGTCGTTTCTATTTATTTCATGTTTCACGAGTGATGGCATAATGTCAACCATTGTGTGTGTCTGGTACTGAGAATTACAAAAACAGTCCTCAAAGCATGAGCAATATGTACGGTCACGGTAAAAAGAGGACTCTCATCCCTTTGTGTGCAGAAAGCATGAAAACAACTGTGTTATCATTAGCATTATACCAACATGGAGAGAACTTCTGAATGTAAAAACAAGCATCCATGTTTTGTTTTCAGTTTACTGATAGAAAAGCACACTATTTACAACTGTATAAAGCAATATATGGCAAAGTAATGTGTTTGTAATAATAAAGCACCGTGTTTAAAACATACAGTGTGGGTGTGTGTGTGCATCACCTTTAGCAAAACGGTGGACACTAAAGATATAGAAAGTGGTAAAACAGTGGAGCCTTTAATCGATGCAGCCAGTCCTCGCTGCTGTTCCACTCACTTACTAGAGTTTCTGTTTTTAGCCCCCCCTGAAGCAAAGTGTTGGTAATGAGGATCGGGACCAGTGTTTTTCAACTCGTTAGCAAGCTCCCATCTGCTTCTCTCCACCTGGGCACTTCCAGAAGAGGGGAAAGGGATGGATCGGGGTGGAAACCTTTCAGAGATCTAAAGACACGCTTGTGGTGTGCCCCTCATTAGAGGACCTGTCTCTGACATCTAAAGCAGAATGGCCAATTATTTTTTCACCTTCAGTTTCCTGATTTAGATTTACATGATGTTTCCACACTGACTGGTGATCTTTTGTTAAACAGCTTCTACACAAAAGTAATTGTACTTTACCATAATTCTACATGTATTTATATCTTTCCAGAACAGAAAGGTATGTAAACACATTACAAGAATGTAACTGTGTGAAAATACAAAGGTATTGCACTTGAAAACTTCCAGCAACTGAAGAAATGGTGGGACTGCACTGGAAAAAATAACTGTTTCTTGACGGGAGTTAAATGAGAGGATTGATATCATTTGTGATTGTGTGAATACCGAGCAATACATCTAGCAGCCGATTAGCTTAGCCTACCATTAAGAAACAGTTTATTTGCAAGAAAACCTAAGAAAATACTTACATAAAAGCATATTATTACCAACCCATCAAAGAAAAAATGTAACCCAGGTAACACCACAGCATTTTTAACACTTTGGTTTAAATCGAAAAAGATACAATGTGTTAATGAGTAAGCTTAAGAGGTAGTGGGTGTAATAGGCTAGCTTTTTCTAAAAGTTATTTGATCTTCTCATTTAAAAGTGTATTTCCCCAAATGTCTAAATATTATACAACTTTAAAATATCAATCCCTGCAGCTTTTACTGTATACTACACTTTAGAAACCCAATTTCAGACACTGCCTTTGGCCACCCTTTCAGTCACCACACAGAGTACAAATATAAGTGTTACAGAACCTGTACATCTCAAGTAAAAGGCAGTTCATTTGGACAGGTTTTTAAAAGCCAATGATGAATTAGAAAGCTGTTCCAGAAACCACCCATGCTGCACATTTATGTTCTTTTCTCGCCACATCGTCACAAACAGACACAGTCTGCTGTCAGAGCACAGCTGGTGGTGGCTGACAAACTGTCCCCGAAGTGGGCACTATGTCTGCATAATACATCATGACGTAAAGAGACGGAAACAAACAGCACCCACTGTGCAACATGCTCTATAGACTTCACAATGATGACTAAATCGAGCAATACTAAATGTACAAACTTAATCCAGGAAGTGAAAAATAAGCCATTTAGAAAAAACGAAAGTATATTTGTTTGAACAAAGCACTGGTTTCCTAACATTTAACTTACAAAAAGCGGCAAAATACAGCATGCTTGCTTTAATTTATTAATATTATTAGGTAAATGTTGATTATGGCTGTAAAAAAAACAACACAACCATCTTCATTTACAAAGGTTATCTGAAGCTTCACTTTAGAAAGCAATTCTTTCTGCTGTCAGATCATGATTTCCCTTTCACAATAAAAGCCTTAGACATATCCACTCCACCACTGCCTCCCAGAGAGCGTTTGGCCAAGTCAAGCTCAACCAATAACTTAAAATCAACTAAACAGCTACTTTATCTAGCCCCAGGAAGCAACAAAAAGCGCATCACTTGTTCAAATTAGAATAAGCGGACAGATAATATGTTATAAATATCTCCAACCACGCAGTTTATTAGCAAATAAATGCAGTGTGTCCTGTGTTTTTGGCAGCTCTGAGGAAACAGAAAGCAATCCAGCAGCACCTTAAATAACTCGAATGGGGAAATGTATCAGTTTCTGCTTATAAACACAGCTGTAAGAAAACATAATACATGCTGTTGTAGGTAACTTTGCACACATTCATCTCTAAATTGCAGTGAGATTTGACTGGAACTATTTAATTTTAAAACCACAGTATCCTTGAACACGATGGTCAAGTTTGTATACCCAACAGGCAAGTTATCACACCAACACAAAGATAGAGGATCATTTCTGTTGTTGTTGCTATTCAGTTGCATTTTTGTCCCTTCTTTAAGTTTGTCAGATTTCACAATGTTCACATAAATGGAAAAAATAAGAAATATCGCAAATCTTAAAATGAGCAGATTAGATGCTCATGCTGATGTACTTAAAATGAAAACAAAAAAAGGAATTACTAAGAATAAAGTGTAGAGTCATTAGGTTCAGAGAAAGGTGTAAACTGATGTCTGCTTTTATAAGCAATAAAACATGTATCTTAATATGCTACAGAGTTAATACTGTCCAACATTGAGCAGACAGCCATGAATAAATAGATCAGTTTATCTGGTGAATCACTTGAAGAGATGACAATCCAACATTTTGATGATGAAGGTGCTCCATTTGTGAAAAACTTTTTCCGAGCAAGTTCCTCAGGGGTTAAACGTCCACAAAGCGTGGTGTCCAGAAAAGTTCACAGGTTAGATTTGGGTCCAGTGTTGACTGGGATGGCCCTGAGCTCAGTCCGCATGCACAGGTACTCTCCGAGGACAGCCATCAGCGCCATGCAGGCTATATTGACGAGCCACCAGGACAGGGCTGCTGGAAGGTGTGCATTATAGATCCAGCAACCAATCATATGGAAGAAGTGCACGGTGACTGTGAAGTCCAGGCACTGTTTCCCCCGACGGATGAAGAACCACAGGCCGAGGGCGCTGCAGGGTTGGTTAGACAGAGAAAAATATTGTAATCAGTCATGCTCATTTATGTTTCAGACATGATTTGTGAGTGTACAAATAGCCTCTGCAAGTTTGTAAATGTCAAAGTCTTGCCAAATCTATAAAAATGATCTTTTATTTCAATGTTAACTATTTGTAGCCACATAAAGTCCTTCTGGTGGAAATCCTTTACTGGTGCAGGTGTTCATAAACCTGTTATGCCATTGTATCATGAGAACATTGTACAACAGCATTTTAGTAAAAGGTGTCACGGCTCCAATGTTTTTGGACTTACAAAAAAAATAAAAATTAAGAAATGACCCACCAGGTAAGAGAATTCAAGAAGAATGCCATCATTGAAAGCCTTCCCTGAATCGATGAAAAACCAAGATGCTGCCAAAGCAGAGCAAATATTAGTAACATTTTAGGAGTCAACATGTGTCCTACTGCTGCTAGAGATCTGTTTACTTACACCATAGCTGAAGATCTGATCCAGGGACCGATTGGTGTGCACCAGACTGTCCACTCCAGCTAGCCACAGGCCCAGGAAGCTGTAGTAGATGCACTGCATCAACACAATCTGACTCACAATGAGGACGGGGTCCCAGATGTAGCTGCGGAAGTGACTGGCCATTGCAAACTGATGTTTCACAATATGGCCCAACGGTTGTTAACTGTTACCACCTGGGCCATCCAGGGTGTCCTGCGTGTGATCTTAAATCTGAAACACAAAAAAGACATTTAATGGAACATATTTCACAACTTGAACTTTGAATCTTAGCCCAACAGCTTTTTTATGCATAAATAACACAATAAAAAGGAGCAGAAATGTAGGTTTAACACTGGATATATGAGCTGTAAAGCTTACATTGACCTTTACTGTTAAGAAAGCCAGTTAAAATGAATTAAAATCTATTAACTTGCAGCTATTTATTGTTTAACACTTCACACATATTGTTCTAAGGGTTTTTGTTGCGTGAAGAACAATTGATAAATGTAAGCGGTACAAACATTTGTTATTTACGGTTTATCAAAATCAACTAGGCTTTCTTATCAGTGTCAACAAAAAGTCAAGAATGTAATCATGCAATCTTTGAACTGACATGACAGAAATAACTCTGATCTTTGTCGATTACATTTGTTTTTATTATTCATTATTTCTGACCTACTTTTAAATGACTGAAAAATATGAACCGCTTTTTTCTTTTCTAATTTAGGATGTTGAGATAGCTCATTCTTTTATTTTTGTTTGTTTTCTTCACAGCTTGTTTAGGTAGACTGCCAACATTGATTACAGATACAGTATGAGGTAAAATCAATTATGAGGAAAACCGACAAGCTGTAAGTAATAGCTACAGTATAGCTACTACAGACTGCTATGAATAAATATTGAGCATAACACTTAAGGACACTGAACAAAAACTAAGCTATGCATTACATTATTCCACCTATTGTCAATCGTTTTGTTATTTGTTGTCATGTTCATCTCTCTTCATATATTTTGCACATTTCTATATATCCCTACCTCACTGAACATCTGCACAGCCCTCCACTTTAAAATATAATATACTGGAGTATGTCATATATTCAGTTTGTTAGCTTATTCAGTTTATTTATATTTGGTGTAAATACTTGTCTTTATTTATTTTTAATGTTTAATCGTTTTTTTAAACGTTTTATTTGTTATGATCATTATATTTTGTACCTTCCTTTACAACCTATGTCCTTATGTTGTGCATATTTGCACCACTATACACCAAAGCAAATCCCTTGAATGTGTAAAAGCTACATAGCAATAAACTGCATTCTGATTCTAGCTAACCACCAACACAAACTGAACGGCTGTTAGCTACAGGCTGTTAGCATCGTCACACTCTTGACTAAACTACCTTAACCCAGCTATACATACAATTTAAGCTAACATAAAAGCCAAGTAAACAAGCCATTAATGGAGGGTGAAAACAACGCTGAAGCATCTCATCTAACGGTACAACAACACGAAAAAAACGAACAAGTTACACCATGTTACCTTTATGGTTGTTTTCTTTATGAGAAACCGTTTCAATAAAAACATACAGACAGTCGATACAGACCCGAGTACTGAATTGAAGGTTTCAGTGGGCCGTATTCACGATAATCCCGTCGGTTGCTGACAGTTTAAAAAACTTTAAAGTTAATAAACCGGGCCTTGAAGCCGACCAGTTGTAGCTTGTTAACAACACGGAAGTCACGGCAGTGAATCCGGAAGTAAAACTTGATATCTCTTCAATGTAAAATATCTCACATGTATTGTTGAGAAAACGTGTTCTAATTTCTTTCGGAATGTACTTTTATACGAACAACCCATGGAAAAAATCTTCTTTTTTACTATATAATATCTACATATTCGTTGTACACGATGCACTTGTTTGTTGTTTTCCTTTTACTCAAGCGCGTCGTTTATTTTGAAATCTTTTCCCGTTTAGCTTCCGGAAGATGCATTAGTACTTTCCTTACAGTCTATGGTACTTTCCTACTACATACAATACTTTTTTTTTCATAAATAAAAACATTAAAAGTCATCTCACGCTATTTTTCTTTATTTTTTAAGTCATGATAGATCAGACGGAATTATATTCAAAACTTGTATGCAAATTTGGTTTTCCCTCTGGTGATCTTCTTTAACTTTTTAGTATTTAGCGCCATCATCTGGTCACAGTTCAAACGGTCCAGTTCAAACGTATCTGAAAAACTAACTAGACATTACCAACAGCTTTAGCCTGGGCTAATAATGTAAGCTTCTCAGTCTTGTTCTTCTGAGGGTGTGAGGGTCTAAAGACAGAGTTTGGTAATATTTTACAGATTGTAAAGTCACTCTAGAATAAAGTTGTGATTTTGGACTACTTAAACTAAATTGCTCAGTCTTAGGGTTGGTTGGTATTTTCATATGTAATCATTAAATAGTTTATTCTTCTATTCTAAAAAAGTAATAACCAAAGTTGGGGTAAAACGGAAAATATATATATTTTTATTTATTTCTGCAGGAATGGTGGGTTTTATACCACATAAAAGTAATGTACACATAATGTCAGAGTAGTATCAATGACAATTATTCTTGCAAGGGGAAAAACAGATGGAATCAGTGTACATCTCTGCTAGTTTGTCTTTCATTATGAACACTAAGGATATAGTCCACATACAAATACAAGCAACCCTATTAAAGTACTCTTAAAGAATCAACACTTGACTGAAATCACAGGCAGGACAGATTTATAAAGGAAGATTTCACACAAAAGGCAAGCCCACAATGTAATACACAGACAAATGTGTGATCAATGTAAGTAACACATGCTCATTCTTCATGGACTAACTGTTTTTGCAAATAGCAAACATATACAAGGACCTTAGGCACCAATAATTGACTGGCATGTCTCATATGTAAGTTTGTAAAACCAAAACAGCCACAGCATAGATGTGAATGATGGTCGTTCTGATACCTGTACCTGTGACACTCACTTATAATGAAACATTGAATTGGACTATTGGTACTAGTTCTTTGACCACGACTAAAGTCTAAAGAGAGGAAGTAGAAAAGTCATGGTGGCTCAAAAGACCAAATGCTCTCATCACATGAGCTGTGACCGTACTTCTCCAGGTTCAGCTGGGTCACAAGAAAAAAGGTAATTTTAGCATAACAGTTCAAGTCATTTCAGAAAGCAGAAGTTAGAAGGCAAAGCAAGAAAGGCATATTTGTTTTTGTATAAAACAAAAGACTACTAATTTATCCCTTACTTCTATGCTGGTGCAGTCTTTGAAAAGACAAGGCAAGTAACACAATACTGAATAAAAAAGTATGACCTTTAAAAGATGCATAAAGTACACAGTTCAGTTAAGAAAGTTGAAAAGTTGCATGTGGAAAAAACAATGTGACAAACAAACATGAATAACTCAAACATAGTATTTGAAACAGTTGTAAATGACATAATGTGGCTAAGAAGGCACAGTTTTCTTTCCTGCATTTTGTAAGCATAACATTTGTATTTCTGTTGATGTTTAGAAAATTAAAAAAAAGGACGGAGCTCATTTGGTTATTTAATTCAAAGCTGCCGATGCAGTTGAATTCAGAAAAACATATTGTAAGATATACAACCTGAGTAAAAAAAATAAGAATAATTTGATTTATCCCTTGTAACTGAAAACATAAGCAAGACTTTTTTTGTTTAATCAACTTGAGCATTCCCTTTTGCTGCAGGGTTAAAAAGCCCTGTTACCCCATTAACAATGACAGGTATACTTTCCACAAGGACACCTCTAGTGACAAGTGTGACACGTTGGACCTGATTTGTTCCCAAATAACACATTAAAGCATCATAAAGTAAATGAAAAAAAGTTCAAAGGACTTGTGCCTAAAAATAAAGGTAAGAAAGCAATGAGATAATGGCTGTGACCACCATCACTGTGGATGGTGGATGAAGAGGTTAGGCAGGTTCTGTGGGGTCGGGCCAGGATATAGACTTAGTGGTTATATTTGTAATTTACTAAAATGACCAAGATTGAGTCACTAATAACTTCTTCTTCTTCTTCTTCTTTTTAAAACAACAATTTTGCCACTTGTATATTGTAAGTCCATGCAACAGGAGCCGATAACATCAACATTTTCACTTGGCAACCTTTTTACAGAACAACTACAAATGTGTCATAACATATTTTATAATCAAAACACACAGACAAAACAATCTTTTTATCCCATTTAGATTGCACATTTCCAGGTCTGCCAAGTTTGAAAAATGCTGCAGCACGTTTTAAGTGGCTGAGAGAGTATGACTCGGGCTCACTATCCATTGAAATCTGGGTTGTAGGCGGGCTGGGCGAGGAAGTCCTTGTTTGGGAGAGGAGCGGTGGGCTGCGGCTGGCCGGGGGGCTGCAGAGGGTACGGCGGCTGGCCGGGGGAGAACGCAGCCTGGCTGTAAGGCATCGGGTTGGGAGGGTAGCTGGGACCAACTGTAAGCAAAAAGAAAACATGGCATGAGGACAAAGTGCTGCAAATGCTCCAACAGTAAAGTTAAACGTATGCTCTGTTAACCAAAAGTATCCAAAAACGTTTAACTTTCTACAAAAACATGTAGACATGACCCGACTTTATCCCAGCATTTATCCCACCCGCACTTCCGACTGCAGCTACATTGAAGCCCCAAAATACATCATGTGGTTTGCGTGTTTTTCAACACTACAGTCTTATTAAAAAGGGGTCATTATCCTGTGTTTATGGGTACTTTTCTATAGCGGGCTGGTTGTTTTAAAAACACAGACTACTTAGTCTTGTATTTCATTGTAAACTTTTATGTCTTACTCTTGAAACTTTTTTGGCATGACTTGATATTTAATAGCGCAGGCATCCTCACAAAGATGTTTTGCGTATAACATCGCCTGCTCAAATGTTCTAACTTTGTCTACAGTCTTTTTTTATATATGTGTGTGTTACATGAAAATAGACTGGATTATACTAAACTTAATTTCCAGCCATTGCCTACAGATACAATACAAAATGTACCCATTTTAAATTCAGTATTAAGTACACAGACAACTATACTAATGAAACAAATAGACACAAGATGCTGAAATCCATTCAGAGGAAGATAACATTTCTGGAGCTTCGATGAGTAAATTTAAAGATGCATCCAGATTGTTGAATAAGACTTTGGGTTAAAACAGTAAATTGTGCGTTGGTCCATCTTTTGCATATCCCTTTTAAAGAATACATTTAGTTTGGTTTCATTGTTTTGTGTTACAAAATGGTGATGATAATTACACTGGGATGGTGTTACAGAAAGGGAAGTTTGACAACAGGCTGTCATCACAGTGTTTCCTCTATATTCATTTTGGCAGCAGCACACCCTGTAACTCTTTGTCTAGGTTATTAAAAAAATCCACACTCACCGGCTTCCAAGTATGACGGTGGTGGTACGGCTGTGAACGGTTGTCCTTGGTAGGGTGGTGTTGGCATGGTTGGAGCTCCGTAACCCTGGGGCCCGGGCTGTGCTCCGTAACCCTGGGGCCCCGGCTGTGCTCCGTAACCCTGGGGCACAGGATGTGCTCCGTAACCCTGGGGCCCCGGCTGTGGTCCGTAACCCTGGGGCACAGGCTGGGCACCATAACCGGGCTGCACTGGGACGTGGTTGTAGGGTTGGTACTGGCCCCCCTGGTAGGTCTGAGGCTGTCCGGCTGCGGTTGGCTGCTGGGGGTACTGCTGAGGGGCGGTGTTAACCACAGTGGTGTGTGTGGTGGTAGCTATCACAGCTGTAAGCAAAAACAACACAGAAACATATTATAAATACAGATAGCAAAAGCTGAGGCAAGGGTTTAATCACAGTCTCAGTTGAAGTGATGGGAGGAGTTGCTGAGCAAGAAGGCTAAATTAAAACTAATGTATACCAATTTAAGTTAGTCTTCTCTTATCTGCTAGTTTTTGGTTGGCTGACATAAACCTAACATTGGCATACAAAAGTCCTAAAACAAGCAGCCTCAGTCACAAGGTTAACCAGCAGTCATTGTCAAAGCATGACCACTACCAAAAAGAATAATACAAAGAACCAAGTATTACAACATCTATAAAAAAAAGAGAAGTTCAGATTTCATAATCAGTTTGTGCAACAAAAATGCAGCAAGACTTAGATCAGGCCGTCTCCTACAGGGAGACAAGGGTGTAATTTCCAATGGAGCAAATACATGTGTTTTGGTACATGTTTATTTACACACAAACATCCCTCTAAACAGTTTCCTTTGACTTTCAAAGCTACCAGAAGAGTAGAGAAGTTAAATGAAGTTCTTTACAGGTTCATCTGAATTCACAACAGTGATTATCTCATTACACAAATTCAGCTTTATGAGCAGCTGTATGTGTTTGTTGGACTTTCTTTTCCCTGGGTGTTGCCTTTTCGATAGCATACTGTACGTCCTATCCTTGTGGTGGAGGATGTGGAGGCCGTATGCAGTTTGAGTGTGTGTTTCTTAGGTTAGAAATGTAATCTTGTATTTTCATAAACTGAAGCTAAAATGGAACATAAGGCAATAAAGTGCAGTGCTAGTTAAGTTTTCAATCAAGGAAGCTTAACATTGTTTTATCACAAGATTTCCTTAAATCTATATCAAACAGAAACCAAACCAATGAACCACCCTAGCTCGTACTCTTGATTGTATTTCTGTTGGAAGAAAGATGCATGTGTGAGCTTGTGTGTGTCCGTCACTCCCCCACCATGTT